ACCACACTGCCCCATCCCATCCCCTGGTCATATTATATGCTTTTCACACTTTAATGCTTTTGCTCTGGTGGTTCCACTGCTTGAAATGCTGTTTCTGTGTGGTAACCATCCTGTGTCTTCCATCTACATGTGACTGCCTTCAAGGCCCAGCTCAATAGTTGCCTGACTCTATGTGACTTTCCCTGATAATCTACTTTTAACCCTCAGCTTCCTTTGACCCCCGGCAGTCAGAATTAATTATTCCTCAGCTGGTTCTAAAAGTGTTTTATTCATACATTCAATGTGACATTCATCACCTTGAATACGAAGTGTTTATTCATATCTGTAACTAACTTGCAACACTGTGAGCTGCTCAAGAGCAGGGACTGTGTCTTGTGGTCTTGTTCACTGTAATATCCCCAGCACCTAGGCTAGTGTCTGAGCACTAACAAACACAGGATGTGCCTTTATGTTGGTATCATGTGTGTTCTTACCTGTTTTTATTTAAAAATACAGTATTTTTTAGGTTTGAACAATACCAGCATGGAACACCACCTTCTTTGCTGTCACTTGGAGACAAACCACCATCATCTATCATCTGATTTATTGTAGAGCTTACAAACTGGTCTTCCTGCTTCTACCGTAGGCAACCCCTGCCCCTTTCCTAGTCTGTTATCAACACAGCAGCTAAGGTGAACCTGTTAAAATGTACATCAGATCAAAGTTCTTTGGTGACTCCCTACCTCCCATTGAGTAAATTCTGAAGCCAGTACCCAACATGGCCATGTTTGATCTGCTCTCTTTATCCTGACTTATCCTGTGTTTAGAGGTTGAGTAAATGAATTTATGCATGTAGAGTACCTAGAACAGTCAGGTACATGGTAGGTACTAAATAAGATTTTCTCAAATAAGCAAAAACCTGTCATTCTCCCCCTTGCCTACTCCTCTCCAGCCACACTGGCCTCCTTGCTGTTTCTGAAACACACTGTCTCAGAACAACACTCTTTTCCCAGACACTCACATGGCTTATTCCTGGTCTTCCTGCAGGTCTCTGACTCTGTGTCACTTTAGCAGGGAGGCCTTCTTTGATTGTATTTGCTTCTACCCTTTTTAAAATAGCAACACCCCATCACTCTATCTCCATAGCCTGCTTCATTTTTCCTTCATAATACTTATCAACATTGTATATATATATATATTTGTTTATTTTCCTTCTTCCCCAATAAGAATGTAAGCCCCATGAGGACAGGAACTTTACTTGCCTTTTTCACTGTTATAACCCTAGCACCTAGAACAGTGTCTGGCACTTAGTAGTAAGTAATGGCTGGTTGGTTGGGTGGTTGTTAATAGTTGTTCAATAAACATTTGTTGAATGAATAAAAGAAAAGCAAGAAAATAAAGGTCATGAAATCTCTGCCAAGATAACATGAAAATAAAAAATATGTGATATCTGCATAAAGGTAAGAAAATTCTTGCCAGGAGCAGTGGCTCATGCCTGTAATCCCAACACTTTGGGAGGCTGAGGCAAGCAGATCATTTAGGGTCTGGAGTTTGAGACCAGCATGACCAACATGGTGAAACCCCATCTTTACCAAAAACACACACAAAAAAATTAGCCGGGCATGGTGGCACATGCCTGTAGTTACAGTTACTCAGGAGCTGAGACAGGAGAATCACTTAAACCTGTGAGGCAGAGGTTGCAGTGAGCCAAGATTGCACCACTGCACTCCAGTCTGGGCAACAGAGTAAGACTCTGACTCGATAAAAGAAAAGGAAAATTCTAACCATATAGAAAAGAAAAAAGGGAAAAGAAAGTCTTCTCTCTCTCTTAACCTCATCTGTTTTCCTAAAGGGAATCAGTTGTGTGATTTTTCAATTTCATTAACCAATAAGTATATTGTTTGCATTCTATATATGTAGGAAAATGGTTGAGGCTTGAGGTTCTGAGGGGTTTATAAATGCAGAGCCTTTATTTTCCAGGATTTCATAGTCTTTCTGGGAGAAGAACATAAAGGAGTTTAGCGGTGTTTCAGAGTTCAGAAATGAGAGCCATCACTGTGGGCTCATAAGGTCAGGAAAGATTTCCTGCATCATGGATGACTTGTTGGGGGTTTGGAGTTTGGGCAGATTTCAGTAAGAGAGAGGAGGCTGGCCCAGGGGAATGCGGCTTTTTTAGCAGAGGTGCCTAGGTGGGATGATGAAAGGGGCCTTTGAGGGAATGGATATAAGTGGAGCCCAGCTTAAGTTAAGCCTTTTAGTTGGGGAGCAACGACAGAAAAGAATGGAGAATAGGGGCTGGGGCAGCTAGAAGAGTACTGAAAGAGCTAGGAGGCATGTGCTAATGACTCAGATAGGACTGTGACTGGAAGAGACACATTTTATAGATACTGCAGTAGTACAATTGTTAGGATTTGTTGAGTGGATGGATATGTTGAGGTGAAAAATAGGGAAGACTGAAATATGACACCCATGTTTTTGAGCCTGGGCAACCAGGAAATTAGTGATAGTATTGCCCAAAACAGGGAAGTCTGGAGGAAAAACTCTTTGGGGGTATGGTGTGGTGGTTGGAAGTGGGGAGATGACTCTGGCTAGATAAATAGTTCAGCCTTTCCTTGAATGTGGGGCCTACCTTAGCATTACCCTCAGAAGGTAGAACTAAATACTGCATAGAATATTTGCCAAATGGATGTTATCAGTGGAGATCACTTATAGCCACCTTCGATGCCAAACCTTGGTCCCACTTTCAGATGTTAAGTTCAGAGGGTCCTCTGCATCCCCATCTCTTTTCAATTCAGACTTATGGGAATCTCTAGGCATCATCTTACCTACCAATTCCTGCCAATTGCAAGTACATCTATGGAGAATCTGACTTCCTTGCTTCGTTATTTACTTCAGGATCTCCTAGGGTGATCAACCATCCTTGTTTGCTCTGGGGTTGCCAGTTTTAGCTCTGAAAGTCAGAAGTCTCAGGAACCTCTCAGTTCCAGGCAAACTGGGGCAATATTCAGCTCTCTTGCCTTCAGAATACCCTTGCTGAACTTAACAGCTCCATAGTAATAATAGCCTTCTCATGTTCTCCATCTAAATTGGCCTTATTCTACTCTTTTGCTCCAGCTTCTCTCTGAACACTGATGACTGATCCCCAGGTGTAGTCTCAACTCTTTCATTTCACATCCATTTGAAGAAGTCAGCAAGATAATGCTGCATGCTAGTTTACCACTCTGCAGTGGCTACTTCAACCCACAACTAAGCAACCTGAGATTCCAAGGAGCAGATAAACCCTATATGCAATCTGTCACTGTTTAGCTTTCATTGCCAGGATAATTTTACAAAGTTAATGAATAGCTGGGTTGGAATGGGGAAAGGGGAACAGACATAGCATGAATGAGGAGAAACTGTCATTGGTGGGCAGCCTCTGTTCTCCTTCTTGGCAGGACACTGGTTACATGGTGAGCCACTTGAGGGTATAGTTGTCATCATCACCAGAATGCATTTTATGAAGGACCTAATAGCTGGTGCTCTGAGCTAGGCCACACAGCTCTGGACCTTCACTTTTAGAACATCATTGTCCAAGAGCAGGTATTGATGTGGACACGTGCAAGATGGATTCAAATTGTCAATATGGGTTAAATCACATATGTCAACCATCTCTTCTACTGGTTTCTAGATATTTGTGGTTGAAATCTATCAAGCAAATATATCTTGTGCCCTTAATTATAATACTAGCTCCTTGAGGGTAGAGGGCCCACCCTGATACTCCTGTCTACAGACCTTAGCTGTGCAGGACAAATCTAGATGTTCAGTAAGGACTGATTAAATTAACCTGACCTGATGGGTGGAGGTAGAGTACCTTTCAAGTTAATTAATTCCTTTGAGCCTCATTTCTTCCTCTACAAAATAAGGGTAGAAATTTCTTTTTCTTTCTTTTCTTTTTGAATGGAGTCTCGCTCTATCATCAGGCTGGAGTGCAGTGGTGTGATCTTGGCTACTGCCTCTCAGGGTTAAGTCATTCTCCTGACTCAGCCTCCTGAGTATCTGGGATTACAAGCATGTGCCACCATGTTTGGCTAATTTTTCTATTTTTAATAGAGACAGAGTTTCACCATGTTGGCTGGGCTGGTCTTGAACTCCTGACCTCAGGTAATCCGCCCACCCCAGCCTCCCAAAGTGCTGAGTTGACAGGCATGAGCCACCATGACTGGCCCCCCTTTTTCCCCTTTATTTTCGAGACAGGGTCTTGCTATGTGGCCCAGGCTGGTTTTGAACTCCTGAGTTCAAGCAATACTCCTGCTTTGGCCTCCCAAAGTGCTGGGATTACAGGCATGAGCTACTGTGCCTGACCAGGGGATTGTAATTTTATCTGCTTCATTGGGTTGTTGTGAGGGTGGAGAGACAATACATGTAAACTGCCTAGCACATACTCTTGCATCGTATAGTATGTCATCTGTTCAATTGTTAGCTATTAATTTAACAATATTAATTTCTGCCTCCTCCTCAACTAGGAGAGTCGATGGAAAAGAGTGAGTGCAGTGGCTCTCGTGCAAATCTGTAGGCATTCACTTCAGCCTCTAGAGGCACACTGGTATGTTGCCTGTGTTTTGGGATAAGAACAACAGAAGATTTACCCTTTCGCTTATCTTCTTCACTTTTCTGCCATGACAGGGACGCTTTGATGGGGCTGTGTGTGAGCAACTGACCAGGAGCGAAGGTCCAAGTGGGACTCTGGACTGAGAGCGGGGGCTGAGACTGAAGTTGCCACATCAGACTGCTTGTTCCGTTCACTCAGAAAATATTTATAGCTAATCTAACCAGCTTTAGACACCGTTCAAGTGCTGGGGGTCCTGCAACAACCCAGGCTCGTTCCTTTACTCCATTTCACAGAAAAGAAAAATCGAAAAACTAGAGAAAATCATCTCTTCCAGAAGTAATCGCACAGGGCACGGAAGGCTGCTAGTGCGCAGGCGCCACGACCTCGGTACGCCCTAGCTCTTCCGGCGCGAGGTCAACGACTCAACCGGCAACCGGAGCCGGGGTCGCGCATGCGCCGCGCTGCCTCATCCGGGCGCCGATACCTGAATGCTGAGGCGCGAGCTAGCGGAGATGAAGTAAGGCGTTAGCTTCCTTTGAGGAAGGAGCAGCGAGTCGCCGGGGGTGGTCCGCTGGGGCTGGGGTGGTAGAGAGTCTGCGGTGTACAGAGGCGGGAGAGGCTCTGTGACTAGAACAGTTCGTCCCCTAGTTTTGCTCTCTCTCAGCTCCTGCCCAGTCGCACTTACTTGTCTGCTTTCCTCCTCCCTCCACATCCCCCCACCTTGCAGCCCTTTAACTAAGGTGAAGCTGATCAACGAGCTGAATGAACGAGAGGTCCAGCTTGGGGTGGCCGATAAGGTGTCCTGGCACTCCGAGTACAAGGACAGCGCCTGGATCTTCCTGGGTGAGGTGCACATCTTTCTCCCGCAGTGCTCCCAAGATTCTCCTACTCGGTTTCCGACGATTTCAGCGTTCCGACCCTTCACTCCTGCCTACATTCATCGCCCACCTTTATATCCATCTGCTGTCTGCCCGGGAATCCATGTTCCATCTCTTTTCTCCCCTATTTTTAGTTTTCTTTCCCTGCCAAATCATGAGAGTTACTGTTTGCCATTTGCTGTGCTAAGGCTCAGGGACTGTTGTTATTTCTCTCACCCCTGACCCATTATACAGCTGAGGAAATTGGGGTGCAGAGAAGTTAAGGGAATTCATTAAGGTCACATAGCTAGTAAGCACAACAAGCAGAACTATAGTATTCTAGAAATCATGGTCTTAGCTACACACCCACATTGCTACCACCACCCTCTCTCATTCCCCTTCCCTTCCTGAATTCACTTTTCTCCTCTAATTAGCTGCTGTCTTCTGTCCATGGCCACATTACCACTCCTGTATTCACTTTGTGTCACAACCAGTAATTGTACAGTTTGACGTTTCAAAGAGGTTATTGTACCAAACATTGTGCTAAGCACTTTATATGCGTCGTTTTATTTAATTCTTATAACAATCCTGTGAGTTATGTGCTAATATCCTCATCTTACAGATGAGGAAAGAAACATTTGGAGGGGAAATTATTTCCTAGGAAATGCTTAACAGTGTCTTTATAACGTTTGTCTATATTTAGGTGGGATTAACCATGACATATGTAGACTGATTTTGTATCATAGCTGTAAATTTGTGGATAATGAGCAGATGAATTCAGCATGTTTGTGGAAGCAGAGGTTTGTGATGGAAACTATCTGCTTTGTCCATAGTATTTGGGGTGCCAGGAGGACTGAGTGATCAGATTAGTTTAGTTAGTGGTGACTCTGACTTCCACTCAAAGTTAATCACTCCTTTTCCTGTACTACTGGCACCTTACATGTACTTCTGTCATTGCATCAGACTTGATTTTTTTTTTTAAGTTGGAGTTTCACTCTTGTTGCCCAGGCTGGAGTGCAATGATGCTATCTTGGCTCACTACAGCCTCTTTCTCCTGGGTTCAAGTGAGTCTCCTGCTTCAGCCTTCTGAGTAGCTGGGATTATAGGTGCCTGCCACCTTGCCTGGATAATTTTTTTTGTATTTTTAGTAGAGACGGGGTTTTGCCATGTTGGCCAGGCTGGTCTTGAACTCCTGACCTCAGGTGCTCTGCCCACCTCAGCCTCCCAAAGTGCTGGGATTACAGGCATGAGCCACCGTGGCCGGCCCAGACTTGATTTCTTTAAGGACAGGGCCTATTGCTTACTGTTTGCACCCCTAGTGCCTGGCCTAGTGCATGGTACGTAGTAAACTCTTGGTAAATGTTGGGTGAACTGAAATGTGGTTTTCTCTTCTAGGAGGGCTTCCTTATGAACTGACTGAAGGAGACATCATCTGTGTGTTCTCACAGTAAGTCCCTGTTCATTTCCTGCCTCCTGAGTCGACAGAGTACTTTGTTTCTATAATGCATTTTGTGGCATCACAAAAACCACTTATTTTCACTCTAGGCTGAATGGCATCCCTGCATGGGGAGGGTTGGAGATTCTGCTTTAGTCTGGATCAGTCCCAGGACATGGTTCTAGAATGTTCTCCTGTGGGAAATCCAAAAAGTTGGTTAATTTAGGCGGCCATCTTGGGAATTCAGGTCTATTTCTGTTGTCTTTGACTGAGGCTTGTTCAGCCTGGGCCTAGACTAGAACAGATTGGAACCCTCAGGAAGGTACCGTGTTGGTCCACCTCCTTGGCTCTTGCAAACTAGGGGTAACTGATGGTCACAGGGCCCTTCTGGCCCTAACCTGTGTGGCATCATAGGATTGGGGCAAAACACAGAAGTGGGGTAAAAAATAGAAGGTATAGGTTGTAGTTTGCTTTCTTTGTTTCTCAATGAGTGTAAGGTTAGTGAGCGAAGCCAGTCTCTACCTGGAGGCTGAGAATCACAGGCTGATGAGGAGCAAGAATGAATAGGAGACCTGTATATTCTTCATTCTGCTGAGCAGTAGCACTTGGTGGGAGAGGGTGTTGGCGGCTCATACTGGTAGTAGCAGCTGGTAGGAGACGGGCTGGGCAGCTGGCATGCAACCCCAGAGCTAAACAGCACAGTTAGTCCACAGGACCAGAGGACCTTGGTGGCTCACAGGTGCAGAGGAGCACTATGTTTGGGTTTTTTGGGCCTTGGGAACATAGTACAGAGAAGTTGGACGGCATGTACAGGTAGAGGACCATGGCAAAAGGGGCTGGCCAGGCAAACACAGGTAGCATACCCTGGCAGAGGGATTGCCATGGCAGGATGGTAGGGTCATCCATGGACAGAGGGTCCTGGCCAAGTGGTTGGGCCACTTAGGGGGCAGCAAGTCATAGGAAAGGAATTAGGCAGTACCCGTGAGAAGAAGGCTGTGATAGAGAACCTGGGCAACCCACATGGTTGGAGGGCCCTGGCAGGGACAAAGATTGCTTCCTCCAACTTCTGGATGGTGGGAAGTTAACAGCAGGTGCAGCCTATAATTTCTACTTCTACCCAATTCAGTCTTCCATCTTGGAGCTGTTTAGTTCTACATACACTGAGTGATGATCAGTTAGCATGTGTGTGTGTGTTTGTTTATTCTGATTCTCTATTCTGGTTACACACACTACTCTCCATGAAGATTGCCTTTGCCGCTAATAACAGTGCCTTTTGAAAAACTACTTTGTTGGCCGGGCACAGTGGCTCACACCTGTAATCCCAACACTTTGGAAGGCTGAGGTGGGCAGATCACGAGGTCAGGAGTTTGAGACCAGCATAGCCAACATGGGGAAACCCCGTCTCTACTAAAAATACAAAAATTAGCTGGGTGTGGTGGTGCGCACCTGTAATCCCAGCTGCTTGGGAGGCTGAGGCAGGAGAATTGCTTGAATCCAGGAGATGGAGGTTGCAGTGAGCCAAGATTGTGTCACTGCACTCTAGCCTGGGCGACAGAGTAATACTACTCCATTTCACAAAAAAAAAAAAGAAGAAAAATGACTTTGTTTGATTCTGAAGGTAATACGTACTCATTATAGAACATTTGACAAAATAAAAAAGTATAAAGAAGAAAATAAAACATACTCTTAAGGAAAACGCAATGTTTTGGCATATCTATTTATCATTTAAAAAATGTTGGAAAAAAATGTCGGACATAATTTCCAATGGTTTGCTATTATGTGAATTATATTGCAATGTACATTATAGTATATAAATTTTTTTATGTATCCCTCATGGTTTCTTTAGTGAAAGAGGAATACAGATCAATATGTTAGCATGTTAAAGATGTTTTATAAATATTGCCAAATTGCTCTCCAAAAGGTTGTATCAATTTCCAGTCATGAGAATGCCCATTTTCCTGAACCCTGATTAACAATGGCTATTTTAAGAAATATTAGCCAAAGGGCTTCTCATTATTACTTTACTTTGCCTTTATTTCATCATCAGTGAGGTTGAACATCTGTTTATAGATTAGCAGCCCATTAGTCTTTTTTTTTGTAAATTGTCTATTCATATCCTTTGCCAAATTTTTTCTACTTGTATTTTCCTGTTGATTTTACATGAGCCCTTCATGTAAGAAGGATATTAAACATTTGCTATAGCACTTTGTTGTGTATTGTATTGCAGGTTGAATATCCCTTATCCAAAATGCTTGGAGCCGGGCGTGGTGGCTCATGCCTATAATCCTAGCACATTGGGTGGCCGAGGCGGGTAGATTGCCTGAGCTCAGGAGTTTGAGACCAGCCTGGGCCACATGGTGAAACCTTGTCTCTAGTAAAATACAAAAAATTAGCTAGGTGTGGTGGTGGACACCTGTAATCCCAGCTACTTGGGAGACTGAGGCAGGAGAATCACTTGAATTGGGAAGGCAGAGGTTGTAGTGAGCCGAGATAGCACCACTGCACTCCAGCCTGGGTGACAGAGCAAGACTCTGTCTTCCAATTTCAGAGGTGTTTTTTTTTTGGAATATTTGCATAAATGTAATGAGCTGTCTTGGGGCTGGGACCGAGATCTAAACATAAACTTCATTTATGTTTCATATACACCTTATGACTACACAGAAACAGTAATTTTATACAATATTTTTAAATAATTTTGTATATGAAACAAAGTTGGTGTGCATTGAACCATCACAAAGTAAAGGTGTCAGATATGGAATTTTCCACTTCTGACATCATGTTGATGTTCAAAATGTTTCAGACTTTGAGGCATTTTGAATTTTGGATTTTCAGATTAGGGACGTTCAGCCAGTACTATGAGCTTGCTTTTTCTTGATTAAATATGTTATCATACTATCATTTTTTTCTTGATGCTCAAATTTTCCCTATTTGAGGGTCAACATGAGTTCCTTCAAGCCATGCCCATATTCTTTTTTAAAAAAATTCTTGTTTTGAAATAATTTCGGGCTTGATACAGGAACATCATAAAATGGTATAAAGAATACCTGTATCTCCTTCACCCAGATTCCCCAGCTGTTAGCATTTTAATTTAATTGATTGATTATTGTGAGACAGGGCCTTGCTCGGTCACCCAGGCTGGAGTGCAGTGGTGTTATCATAGCTCACTGTAGCCTTGAGCTCTTGGGCTCAAGCTGTCCTCCTGCCATGGCCTCTACAGTACTGGCATTACAGGCATGAACCACCACACCTGGGCAACATTTGCATTTGTTTTGTCATTATTTCTCTCCATGCATACATACTACAATTTTTTCCTGACTCGTTTGGGAGTCAGCTGCAGATTTGATGCTTATTCCTAAATTCTTCAATGTGTGTTTCTTCCAAAATGAGGACATTGTCTTGTTTAACCTTAGCACAGTGATCAAGTTCAGAAAATCAATACTGATGCAGTATTATTATTTAGTTTATAGACTTTATTCAGCTTCACTGGTTGTCCTGCTAATGTCCATTATAGCAAAAGAAAAAATTGTTTTCTGGTCTTTTATCTGTGATATAAATTATAAATATTTTCTCCCAGTTTATTGTTTTTTGACTTTGTTTATTGGGATTTTTTGCTAAGCAAAATCATTTTATTTTTATGTATTCATTCATTGATATGTTTAAATTAGCATATGGTAAAATTGACTTTTTTGAGGGGCGAGGGTGCACCCCTGTGAGTTTTAATAGATTTATGGATTTGTGTAATCACCCCCATAATTAGAATGAAGAACAGTTCTATCACCCCGAAAAAGTCTCCCACGCTCTCTCTTTATAGTCGCCCCTTCAGTATTTTATTTTTATGTGGTTAAATTTATCAATCTTTTTTTATTGCTTCTGGATTTTGAGTCATAATTGGAAAGTAATCTCCCCACCCACCCACCTGTGTTCTCTTTCGGTACTTGTATGGTTTCAATTTTTTTTTTTTTTGCTTTTTTTTTTTTTTTTTTGAGGCGGAGTCTGGCTGTCACCCAGGTTGGAATGCAGTAGTGCAATCTCAGCTCACTGCAACCTCTGCCTCCCAGGTTCAAACGATTCTCCTGCCTTAGCCTCCCAATTAACTGGAATTACAAGCATGTGCCACCAGGCCCAGCTAATTTTGTATTTTTAGTAGAGATGGGGTTTCACCGTGTTAGTCAGACTGGTCTCGAATTCCTGACCTCAGTGATCTACTTGCCTCAGTCTCCCAAAGTGCTGGGATTATGGTTGTGAGCCACCATCATGGCCATAGTTTCCATTTTATAGATTGAAGTTTTTGATCTGTTTAGAGTTCATTCTGTTGTACAGCGTGAGGTTTAGAGCCAGTTTTCTTTTTTTTCAAGTGGCTATCTAGTTGTCCTAACACCGTTTTTTAAAGTCCAAGCTCAAGAGTGGCTGTAATCCACACACTTTGGGAGGGCTAGGGGGGGAGGATCACTTGAGGCCAGGAGTTCAAGACCAGCCTGGGCAACATAGTGAGAACTATCTCTGCAAAAAAAAGTTTTTTGAGTCCATATTTTCCCCAGCAAATTGGTATGTCACCCTTATCATATACTATTTGTTTTCATGTATACTTGAGTCTCTTTCTTAGCTTTTATTCTATTGGTCTATTAATTTTCCAATACCACACTAGTAATTTCAGTCTGTCTGATATCTGATAAGAGTTACTCCCCCTCATTGTTCTCATTAAGAGTTTTCCCAGCTATTTTTACATGTTCTTTTTTCCATAAGAATTTTAGAATTAACTTATTCAGCTTTCAGGAAAGAAACCAAACTGGTATTGTTATTGGAATTATATTAAATTTACATTAACTCGGGAGAAGATTTTGATACCTTATGATAGTGAGTCATCCTGTCCAAGAACAAGGGATACCTTCATATTTGTTCAAATCTATGTTTGTGACTTTTGGGAATTTTAAAATAGTTTTCTTTATATGGGCTTTGTACATTTTTTGTTGATAAGTATATTTCTAAGTACTTTGTCTTTTTTTGCTATGATAAATACGATTTCCCTTTTATCATTTCTTCTGATTATTGTTTCTGTATAACAGAGTGATTGATTTTTAACTTTATATCTTGTTGCTTTACTGAATTGTTACGCTCTGTTTTTAATCATTGTTTATCATGGATTCTCTGGGTTTTCCATGTATACTATCATATGTAATCTACAAAAGGATAATTTTACTTCCTTTTTTTCATTTCTTATATCTGTTTTACCTAATTGCATTGGCCTATACCTTCATTTTAGTATTAAATAGTTTCTAAACTTACTTGAATCAGCTCTAGTATTTCTCATTAAGTAGATTGCTAGATTTTGGGCTGAAGTGTATGTATGTGATTATGTAACATACCTGTCAATTCCCGTTTTATTTTTATGACTTTATTTTTAAATTTATAAACCTCTAACTTATCTGGAATTTATCTTGCTGCAAGGAGTAAGGTAGTCTTTTATTCCTAATGTTTTTTCTTTTTTGAGACAGAGTCCCACTCTCTCGCTCAGGTCACAGTGTAGTGGCATGATCCTAGCTCACTGCAGCCTTGAACTCCTGGGCTCAAGTGATTCTCCCCATTCACCCTCCTGAGTGGCTGGGACTACAAGTGAACACTACCATGCCTGGCTAATTAAAAAACTTATTATTTTGTAGAAACAGGGGTCTTGCTGTATTGTCCAGCTTGTCTCAAACTCCTGGCATCAAGTGATCCTCTGGCCTTGGCCTCCCTAAGTGCTGGTATTACATGTGTGAGCCACTATGCCTGATCTTTTTTTGTTTGCTTGTTTTTTTTGGAAATAGGATCTTGTTCTGTTGCCCAGTCTGTCTTGAACTACTGGCCTCAAACAATACTCCTGCCTCCCAAAGTGCTGGTATTACATATTATAGGTGTGAGCCACCATGCCTGGCCTTTTTTTTTTCTATTTAATTCTGCCTTTTTATCTATTTGGTTTTTTTTTTTTTTTAGAGACAGGGTCTTGTTCTGTTGCTCAGGCTGGTCTCAAATTGCTGGCCTCAAACAATCCTCCCATCTTGGTCTCCCAAAGTTCTGGGATTACAGGCATGAGCCACCATGCCTAGCCAAATTTCTGCCTTTATCTTTATTAGCTCCCATCTGCTTTCATTAGGGTTGCTTTCTTCCTTTATATTCATCCTTTTTGTTCACAATAAAATTATTTTAAAGTTACAAATTTTCCTATGATGTTAGGTACATTTCATAAGTTTTGGTATATATTCTTCTCATTTTTGCTATTTTCTAAATAGTCTGCCATTTTAAAAAAAATATTTTGCTTCATCTTCTCTTTCATCCAGTTATTAAGAGAGTAGCTTTCAAGTTCTAGTTAGGTAAGGTGTTTTTTATTTAAAATATCATTTCCAGCTTTAGGTCTGTCTGTTTTTTGGAGTATAATTATTGAGGTTTACATTGAGACCTAATCCATAGTCTATTTTAGTACAATCTTCATGAATTCTTGAAACTGTCATCTTGTAGGATTCAAAGATATCTATGTATCTAATTACATTAATATTTGTTTGTATAATTGTTATAGTAATTATGTATATTAATTAATCTGATCTTATTTCTGTCCACTTTGTGCATGATAAACTTCAAAGTGATTTGTTAAATTCTTCCATAACTTTTGCTATTAGTTTTTCTTTGCATTTCTGATAGCTTTTTTAATTAAAAATTTTGATTTCTTAATTGACCTAAAGTTTTCCTGACTTATACCTTTGTTTTGTATTTAGGCCTTTTTCAGTGTAAAATAATCTTCTTAGTTTCATTTTTTATTGTGGCCTTGAATTAGCCTTTGCTCTTGATATTAGTGCCTGTTTTTTAATTGGGTACTCCTGTTCTTGTCTGACTTTTTCTTTGTCATGACCTTTCTGTATCATCTCGTTCTAGATGTATCTCTTGTACATACTGTATTATTTGAATTTTGTTTTATTACCTTATCTGCATGTTTTTGCCTTTTAAGTCAATAGTGTCTTACTCTTTTATAAAATAAATAGATATGGGGAGATTGTTAACATTAATCTCGTGCGGGACAAGAAGACTGGGAAGTCCAAAGGATTTTGTTTTCTCTGCTATGAAGACCAGAGGAGCACAATTCTGGCCGTTGACAATTTTAATGGGATCAAGGTGAGTGTACTTACTAAGCAGGTTGGTTGGACATTTTTTCCCCTTGTATAGGGGTTTCGTTTTCTACCTGGTTGCCATGGACACCGGGGCAGCACTCGTCAGCTTGGTGTGTTGCAGGGGCTGCAGAGGTGTGGAGACACTGGTCAAAAAGAGATTCCAGGAAATAATTCTGTTGACTTGTGGCCCTGCAGGACTTGCTTCTTTTTCCCATCTGTTAACAAATTGTCTCCCCAGGAGCATAGGTACCAGGCCTGCCTCCCCTCCAGGCCTCTGTTTTTTACCTTTCTTTTTCTTTTTTTTTTTTTTTTTGAGACGAAGTTTCTCTCTTGTTACCCAGGCTGGAGTGCAATGGCGCGATCTCGGCTCACCACAACCTCCGCCTCCTGGGTTCAGGCAATTCTCCTGCCTCAGCCTCTGGAGTAGCTGAGATTACAGGCACGCACCACCATGCCCAGCTAATTTTTTGTGTTTTTAGTAGAGACAGGGCTTCACCAATTTGGGCAGGCTGGTCTTGAACTCCTGACCTCAAGTGATCCACCCTCCTCGGCCTCCCAAAGTGCCACTGAACCTGATCAGAGGGGTTAATTTTTTATTGTTGTTCACCTGTAGAGTTGTGATTCATAGCGCAATAATCAGTGTGAGCCTACTGTTCCAGTGTGGTGTGGCTAGAGCAAGGTGTGAGGGCTTAAGAAAAAAGAAAGTTTCCTTTTCTCTATTCCTTCCTCTCGCCAAACTGTTGGTCTGGCTTTGCCTCCTAATGACTGTGTCGGGAAAGCAGTTGTAGCATTAAGCTAGATATCAAGAATTCCTTCTAGTTGCCAGACCTTCCTAGGGCATGTTTCACTGTAAACTTATGTTACAGATCAAGGGTAGTTAATTGTGCATCTAAATCTCACAGTCTTCCCTGATGCTTGTGCTTTGAGGTAGTAGTGTTTCCTAGTCTTTTTCATTTTGTGGACCATGTAGAACAGGAAGATATTTATATGATGCCCTGGGGTAAAGTGATGAGGCTGCTGGTACAATTGCCCAGGCCTCACCTGGCTGCCCTGAGAGCTGAGTGTATTAATATTTAGGTGTACATGCTATGACACACCAGTTGGACAGGTCTGCTTTAGTGACAAAATTTGGCAAGAAGGAAGTGGACATAGTTCAAATCATGGTTTTCTGTAGCTTGTGTTCAGATAGTCTGACACTGTGTTATGAGGGCCGTCTTCACTGAAGCATTTCCCGTCTTGCTTAGATCAAAGGAAGAACTATCCGAGTGGATCATGTGTCTAACTATCGGGCTCCTAAGGACTCAGAAGAAATGGATGATGTGACCAGAGAGCTCCAGGAGAAGGGCTGTGGGGCTCGCACCCCCTCACCAAGTTTGTCTAAGAGCTCTGAAGATGAAAAACCAACAAAAAAGCACAAAAAGGGTAAAGCATTAAGACCTAAGGGAAGATTCTAGCAGCCTTAATGTCTGCTTTTCCTTGCATTCACTGATAGTTGATAACCAACTCAAGTGTGAAAGGGGAAGGTGCAGGGAAGCATAGTTTTATTGGGAAAGGGGGAGCGTCAGTGGAAGGCTAGTGCTATGGGCAGAGTTGTGTTCCTCCCCAAGTTAATATGCTGAAATCCTAAGCCTCAGAATGCAACTGTATTAGGAGATAAGGTCTTCGAAGAGGTAACTCAGCATGGGAATTACCTTGTACAGCAAATTGACATATCAAGGGTGACAGACATCCAAGTTGGCTTCTTGGAGGCACTTTCCTGGAGGCCTAGACAGTGGCCCCTTCATGCTGCTGCCAAGGTTGTTCTCCTTATGCACATTCCCCATCTCCTAGCATGTGAAGTTTTTTAATTATAGCACCTGTGTTTGATGTAGTGTATTCAGAAAAGAAAGGTGCTTTTTTTTAAGGGAGTTCTTTATTTTTTTCCCCTTTTCTTATTGACTGCTTCTTTCCTTTATCCTCCAGACAAAAAGGAAAAGAAGAAAAGAAAGAAAGAAAAAGAGAAAACTGACCGGGAGATACAGGCAGAGCAGCCGTCCTCTTCGTCACCCAGAAGTAAGACAGTAAAGAAAAAGGATGACCCTGGCCCTAAGAGGCACAGCAGCAAGAACTCAGAAAGAGCTCAGAAGTCAGAACCCAGGGAGGGGCAGAAGCTCCCCAAGGCCAGGACTGCCTACTCTGGTGGAGCAGAGGAACTAGAGAGGGAACTGAAGAAGGAGAAACCCAAGCACGAGCACAAGTCCTCAAGCAAGAGGGAGGCAAGAGAAGAAAAGACCAGGGATAGGGACAGACGGCGGAGCTCAGACACACATTCTAGCCAGCACAACCGGCGTTCCGAAGGGCATAGTCATAGAAGTAGAAGTAGGAGCCGAGATAAATCCCATAGGTATAAAAGGTCCCGGCGCTCCCGGGAGCGGGAGTCTTCCAATCCCAGTGACCGTAGGCGTCACTGAAGACTACTTGGCTGCTCAGTAGATTTGGAAATAATTATGTTTTTTAAATGCAGTCAAATTCAGTTGGGCTGTTACTATTTTTGTATCTAAAACTTCTGGGGCTGGATTCTTTGACTCTCTTGAGTATTAGAGTCATTGAAAGGGCTGCAGTTTAAATAGCTAGTTATCCTGGATATTCTTAACAGCATCTATTGGCCCTTTACCAATGTATGTATCCTGAATTTTGGTTCATAAATATGGCTCTTGAGCCCATAGACCCCAGTTGAAGATGGAATTTTCAGGAAAGGGAAGATACCAGATAATTCTAGAAATCTAGTCTTTGTGTTTGATGTTTAGAGCCCAGCATCATGGGACCTTTCCAGTTACTAGATATAGACAGCTTGATGTGAATGACTGGGATACGATTTCTAAGATCAGCCAGGTCCATCCCCAACCCTCCTGTTTAAAAAATTTTTAATATCTTTTCTTTTTCATTAAAACTTTTTGTTTGATATGCCTCTTTCCACATTTTTTCCTTGCGATGTATTTGTTATTTATTTGTATTGAGGTAAAATGCACAAAACATAAAGTTAACCATTTTAAAGGGAACAATTCAGTGGCATTTGGTACCGAACATCCACAGTGTTGTGTAACCATCACCTCTGTCTACTTACAAACCATTTTTTATCCCAAGATGAAACTCTGTACCCATTAAGCAAGAACTCCCTCCCCACTTCCTCCCTCCTCGTCCCTAGCAACCACCAATCGACATCCTGTTTATGGGTTTGCCTATTCTGGCTATTTCATATAAATGGAATTATACAATTGTGGTCTTTTGTATCTGGCTTCTTTCACTTAGTGTAGTGTTTTTTGTTGTGTGTTTGTTTGTTTTAATTTGACATGGAGTTTGCTGAAACTGGAGTGCGTGGCACAATCTCAGTTCACTGCAACCTCTGCCTCCCAGGTTCAAGCCATTCTCCTGCCTCAGCCTCCTGAGTAGCTGGGATTACAGGTGTGTACCACCACACCTAGCTTATTTTTGTGTTTAGTAGAGATGGGGTTTCACCCTGTTGGCCAGACTGGTCTCGAACTCCTGACCTCAAGTGATCCGCTTCGGCCTCCCAAAGTTCTGGGATTACAGGTGTGAGCCACCACACCCAGCCTAGTGTAGTGTTTTTGAGGTCCATCCACATTGCAGCGTGTATCAATACTTCATTCCTTTTTATGGCTGTATCATATCACATTGTGTTGATATAGCACATTTTGTTTATGTACTCCTCAGTGGGTGGACATTTGGGTTGTTTCTACCTTTTGGCTAGCTAGCTTCCTTTTAGTGTTCCAGCCATACCATGCTACCTTTTAGCCTTTGTCCTCTTTTCAAGTAGCTGCTGTTGCTGGGATGGGAACACTTTGTCAGTTCCATTGTCTGTCTTTCTGGTCTGCCTAGCAGTTCTTTCTTATTTTGAGTCAGCTCTTTCCTTTATCTATCAGTCTCTTAATGAGTTTGGTAGGAACTAGGTCACAGGACCTTTAATAAATATTCCCTGGTAAATTATTAAAGGTCAAATTTCTGACCCTGCAAAATGAAAGGCCAGAGCTTTAACAGTGAATGCACTCAGTTGGACTTCCTGTGTGTGAATTTGGACCCTCGGTTAGATGTGCAGGAGATTTTGTAGGGGAAGTAGTGGGGAGAGAGTTGAGGAGTCTGGGAAAGCTGTCAGACTATGATACAGGTCTAACCTCTGGAGAAGAAATAGGAAGGAAGGGTGGGTAGGAAAAGTCTTGTGCAGTTGTAACATGGTTTCCGCAAGACCAAAGTGAGTTGAGACCACAGCTACTCTTTTTTTTTATTTTTTAATTTTTTATTGCATTTTAGGTTTTGGGGTACATGAGCAGAACATGCAAGACAGTTGCATAGGTACACACATGGCAGTGTGTTTTGCTTCCTTTCTCCCCTTCACCCACATTTGGCATTTCTCCCCAGGCTATCCCTCCCCACCTCCCCCTCCCACTGGCCCTCCCCTTTTCCCCCCAATAGACCCCAGTGTTTAGTACTCCCCTCCCTGTGTCCATGTGTTCTCATTTTTCATCACCCGCCTATGAGTGAGAATATGCGGTGTTTCATTTTCTGTTCTTGTGTCAGTTTGCTGAGGATGATGTTCTCCAGATTCATCCATGTCCTTACAAACGACACAAACTCATCATTTCTGATTGCTGCATGATATTCCATGGTGTATATGTGCCACATTTTTCCAATCCAGTCTATTATCAATGGGCATTTGGGTTGATTCCAGGTCTTTGCTATTGTAAACAGTGCTACAATGAACATTCGTGTACATGTGTCCTTATAGTAGAACGATTTATAGTCCTTTGGATATATACCCAGTAATGGGATTGCTGGGTCAAATGGAATTTCTATTTCTAAGGCCTTGAGGAATCGCCACACTGTCTTCCACAATGGTTGAACTAATTTACACTCCCACCATCAGTGTAAAAGTGTTCCTTTTTCTCCACATCCTCTCCAGCATCTGTTGTCTCCAGATTTTTTAATGATCGCCATTCTAACTGGCGTGAGATGGTATCTCAATGTGGTTTTGATTTGCATCTCTCTGATGACCAGTGATGATGAGCATTTTTTCATATGATTGTTGGCCTCATATATGTCTTCTTTCATAAAGTGTCTGTTCATATCCTTTGCCCACTTTTGAATGGGCTTGTTTGTTTTTTTCTTGTAAATCTGTTTGAGTTCTTTGTAAATTCTGGATATCAGCCCTTTGTCAGATGGGTAAACTGCAAAAATTTTTTCCCATTCTGTTGGTTGCTGATTCACTCTAGTGACTGTTTCTTTTGCCGTGCAGAAGCTGTGGAGTTTCATTAGGTCCCCTTTGTCTATTTTGGCTTTTGTTGCCAATGCTTTTGGTGTTTTGTTCATGAAGTCCTTGCCTACTCCTATGTCCTGGATAGTTTTGCCTAGATTTCCTTCTAGGGTTTTTATGGTGCCAGGTCTTATGTTTAAGTCTTTAATCCATCTGGAGTTAATTTTAGTGTAAGGTGTCAGGAAGGGGTCCAGTTTCTGCTTTCTGCACATGGGTAGCCAGTTTTCCCAACACCATTTGTTAAACAGGGAATCCTTGCCCCATTGCTTGTTTTTGTCAGGTTTATCAAAGATTGTATAGTTGTACATATGTTGTGTTGCCTCCGGTGCTTCTGTTTTGTTCCGTTGGTCTATATCTCTGTTTTGGTACCAGTACCATGCTGTTTTGATTACTGTAGCCTTGTAGTATAGTTTGAAATCCTGTAGTGTGATGCCCCTCGCTGTGTTCTTTTTGCTTAGAATTGATTTGGCTATGCGGGCTCTCTTTTGGTTCCATATGAAGTTCATGGTGGTTTTTTCCAGTTCTGTGAAGAAAGTCAATGGTAGCTTGATGGGGATAGCGTTGATTCTGTAAATTACTTTGGGCAGTATAGCCATTTTCACGATATTAATTCTTCCTAACCATGAACATGGAATGTTTCTCCATCTGTTTGTGTCCTCTCTGATTTCGTTGAGCAGTGTTTTGTAGTTCTCCTTGACGAGGTCCCTTACGTTCCTTGTGAGTTGTATTCCAAGGTATTTTATTCTTTTTGTAGCAATTGTGAATGGCAGTTCGTTCTTGATTTGGCTTTCTTTAAGTCTGTTATTGGTGTAGACGAATGCTTGTGATTTTTGCACATTGATTTTATATCCTGAGACTTTGCTGAAGTTGCTTACCTGTCAGAGGAGCTCTGCTACATCAGCTGTGGTAAGCAGGCATTCTTGCTATTGTCTTTTGGCCTCCATCTCAGCCATCGTGGCTGCCGTGCTTATGTGCCTGTCATGTCAGTGCCGTAGTTGCCAGTGACAAAGGCCCATGAACTGGGTTGAGTCATTTCGTCTGCTTGTTTTTATATGCGGCAAGTAATTAGACCACATGATTATGGGGGCTGATTAGGCAAACCTAATATTCATGAAACAAGAGCTGACACTGGTGGAATTTCTTCAGGGAAATCTCTGTTTTGCTCTTAAGGCTTTCAACTGATTGGTTGAGGCCCACTCAGATTATCGAGGGTAATCATAACTGATCATAGATGTTAACCACATCTACAAAATACACTACTCCCCTTTATCAGTGGGATACATTCCAAGAGCCCCAGTGGATACCTGAAGCTGGCTAATGCCAAACCCTATATATACTATGTTTTTTCTATATATACATAGGATAAATTTTAAATTAATTTATAATTTAAAATTAGGCACAGTAAGATAAAAACAGTAAAACAGAACAGTTATAATAATATACTGTAATAGAAGTTATTTGAATGTGGTATCTCTCAAAATATCTCACATATGTAATATTTTCTGACAATGGTTAATCATGGGTAACTGAAACCGCAGATAAGGGGGTATTACTGTACCTTTACAGCAACACCCAGATTAGTGTTTGAGCAACTGGGTACTGTAGCCTAAGCCGAATTGACACACAACACTAACCATCACAATTTACTATCTTATCCATGGAGGGGGTCGGGGGAGCAGCTTCAGAGGTTTCCGCATGGCTGTCCTCACTATGACAGCTCTTACTTCAACAGACCAAAGAGCCATGTGGGCATTACTCCCACTGCCAGGTCAATTTCAGTTCCACACTTAGGGTAAGGAAATGACCACTGGCTGGGTTAGCAGCAGGCCCACTGTGAGTCCCATTTTGGCCAGCACTTCAGTTATCACTTGGCCTCCATAAGCTGCCAGTCTAACCAGGGCCATGAGGATGCTTCTCTTCTCTAGATATCAGTCAACTTAGATCTTGGATCCAGTGTTCCTCCGAAAGTTTGAGTATTCTTTCCCCGGTGTACATACTCCCAAGTAAGTGACTGTAGGTCCCTTTGGGGACGCACTGGATGCATCATTGCATACTTGTCATTGTCCTTCTCAGGGTTCCAGCCACCTCTTTCTAGACCTGAAAATGGGCTGAACTGAAGTATGGCAGCTAAACAAGGAAGTAGGACTTTTTATTGGGGGAAGCTCCCTCAGCCTTCTGTTCCTCCACTCCTTTTCAGCTCATAGTGAGCAATGCCCTTGTTGCCTGTTGCTCTTAGGGACACTATATTCCATTAGCCATCTCCAGAACTCCCTGAAGGTAAAGCCCCCGTGGCTGTCCTTCAGACCTTGTGGTTCGCTCTGGTATTTGTGGCTTCCTGCCTTCTGGAGGTTAAGCACCTCTGTCTGGTCTCTCTTACTCTGGGACCCCACCATCCCCATTGACATTGATGAGCACAGCTCTGTGATGATCTCTCACTGTCAGTCTTGGCCTGCAGAGGTGGCCATCTCCGAACTTCATGATGCTGGTGTCCCTCTCACCAGTGCCTTCCTGCTGACCTCAGTGCATGGGGTGTCCTTTGCTGCCCCCCACCATGGAACACTGTTTTCTGGTGGTGTTTTTGACCTCTTGTAATCTGTCCACTCCAGCATGCCCACTTCCTTTCATTCCTTCCTCTGCC